ATTGTGCTGTACACCAGAAACTGACACAGCATTGTAAACTGAGTATACCTCAATAAATAAATAAATTAAATTGATATTTGTGCCACTAATATTTTTCATTTACAACTTTTAATTATTTAATTTAAATTGCGATTTTAATCGCAAATTTTGTGAAGTTGGTGGAATGTAAAATGGTGTATTAATCATCGATTCCTGTATAACAAATTACCCCAAAATTTAGAGTCTTGTTTGAACATGTGCTCTCTCACCATTTCTCTGGTCCAGAAATCTGTGTGCATCTCAGCGGGTTATTTCTGGCTCATGGAGTTCCAGTCATGCTGTTGGCTGGGGCTGCAGTCTCATCTAAGGGGGTGACTGTAGGAATGCGTCAGTCTGATCAGGCTGCTATAACAGAATGCCACACAAATGGTGGCTTATAAACGACAACAGAAATTCATGTCTCACAGTTTTGGAGTCTGGATAGTCCAGGATCACGGTGCTCGTAGGTTTGATGTCGGGTGAGACCTGCTTCCTAGCTGGCCCTCTGTCTGCTATAACCTCACATGGCAGAAGGGGCAAGGGAGCTTCCTCAGGTTTCTTCTACAAAGGCACTAATTTCACTCATTCATGACAGTCCCATCTCATTAACCACCTACTAATGGCCCCACATTTTAATACATCACAGTAAGTTTCAACATATGGATGAGGAGGGGGGACACAAATATTCAACCTATAGTGGGGGGGGATCTGTTTGCAAGCTCATTCAGGTGATTGCAGGCAGGACTGTGTTCCTCGGGTGTTGTTAGATTGAAGACCTCCATTCCTTCCTAGCTGTTGTCCGAAGCCTCCCCTAATGCCCTTGCCGCACAGGCCTCTCCATAGGGCATCTCATGTTAGGAACAGGGCCTGCAGGGAGGGGGCTGGCAGGCAAAGAGCAGCAAGAGACATGAAGCATTAAAGAAAGTTCCGGTCTAGTAGTGGTTTAGGGGACACGGGACCCGTGGCAGAGATGAAGGCCACCAGATGGCAAAGAGACTCAGTGTACTGCTAAGGTGTATGGACTTCACTTCATGACAAAGTTATCACTTTATGATAACCTCCGAAGATTTTTAAGTAGAAAAGTGATACAAGAAGCTTCCGCAACAGTATGCAGGTTGGACCGGAGGCCATGAGTGGCAGAAAGACCAGTTAAGGAGTTACAAACTAGGTCAATTCAAGAATTAACTAGGGCCTAAATTAAG